GAAAGTTTCCACAAAACTCAAGCAATCCTCTACATCCGGGACCTGTCCTTATCTCTTGTTTTAGTACAGATATTAGATATCTATTGAAGACATGGAGCCTGATTGGTTAGCAAGTGGAAAAGGGATTTTTTTTTTCGGTCCTTTTTTTAAGCATTTTCTTTCTCAAAGGAAGAAAGCTTTGGGAATTGTCCTTTCTTGAGTCTGACCTGAAAAATGATCACGGTCTCCCCCCCCCCCCCTGAGAAGCGGAGGAAGATACTAGAGGATAGAAGCAAGAAAAGAGCCTCACTTGAATCAAGGCGATCTGAAGAAAAATTCTATTGATTTCAAGGAGCCATTTATCTAGCTTGCAAAATGTCATTGGATGGCCAAAGGGCAAAAAGGCGGCCGCTGATCACCCGGAGCATGGCCCAGGGTCTCCATTTCACCCAAGCCCGATCTTCGCGACAAGAGGCCATGGATGTGGAGTCCAAGGCCCACCGAAGAGAGCTCCTGTCGGAGTGTGAAGGTGAAGAGGAAGTTGAAAAGGAAGCAAGAGGAAAGGAGGCGGTGGAAAGAGCATGGGCCTTCTTCTTCCGTCTCGTCTCCTCTCGAGCTAAGAGGGAAGAGCTGCTGTTCCCCCGCCGAAGCTTCCAAGGTTGTTCCTTCTTCTGCTCGTCGTCCTTGTCGTCTCCTCAACCACCAGCTCATCCCCATCCTCCGTCCTCCACTGTACTAACTCTTCCTCTCCTCATCCTCTCACCCTCACCCCGTCTTCCCCTCAGTGTTTCTCTTCCTCCTCCCCTCACTTCGTCACTCTCCCCCCTTGGGCTGAAGCGAAGTCTCAGCAGAAAAATCACTCGGAGAGCGCTCGAGGAGGATGTCCCTCCCGACTTCACGCTCCCGAGAAGAGTTCATGACGCCTTCGGCGCTCGCCTTTCCCTCCCTCTCCCGTCCACTACCTCCCTCTCACCCGACCTTCCTCCGCCCTTCAAGGCTCTCCCAGGCACCAGCCTTTCCGAACACCTCCTCGAGACGTCATTCCACGATCGATCACGCCCTCCGCGACAGACGAGCAGTCCGCAGACCTGTATCGTCTCGGAACTCTCCCTGCCTCGCCCGAGTATCCTCAGAGCTCCAGTTGGACCTCATGAGCAGGAGAGGGGACAGGTCCCTCCGAGGCTGCGAGGGGCGTCAAGAGGGAGGCCGACGACAGCATCGCCTTCAGGAGTCTCCGGCCTCTCAACAGCGGCAGAATTGCCAGGTGCGTTGCCCCCCAGTGCTCGCTTTACGAATGATCTGCTTTGCAATGTCTGGCTCTTTCTTTTAAACTCTCCTCTCTCTCATTCTTTCTTCCCTCCTTCACTCTCCCATTTCCCTCGCTACCTCCTCTCTCCACACCTTCTTTACCTCCCTCTTTTCACCATCTCACTCTCTCCACGTGCCCACCCTCTTTCCTTTACCCTCCCTCACCTTCACTCTCCCTCCCTTTCACGCCCTACTTTTCCATTCTTCTAGTCCCCCTCCCCCCAAGTTCTATTCCCCCTCCTTCTCTCACGCCTTCTCCTTCCCTCTCTTTTTTTCGCTCTCTGCAAACACTCCACTAACTCCTCCTAGCCCCCCCCCCTCCCTCTCACGCCCTCTCCTTCCATCCTCTTTTTTCACCTCCACTGACTCCCTCTCTATCCCCCCCCTCCCTCTCACGCCTTCCTTTCCCTCCTATCTGTCTCTCCCTGCATCCGCGAAACTAACTCTCCCTCCCCCCTCCCATCCCCCCTTCCCCCCTCTCCCCACGCCCTCCTTCCCTCTCCTGTTTTCCCCCGGCGCGGCAAGGAAGGCGTATCGTCGGGCGGGGTCGATACGGAGCCGCGACAAGCGTTGCCATGACTCAGCTGGAAGCCCCACTCCCCTTCCCCCTTTCCCTCCTTTCCCTTCTGTCCTTCCCATTACCCATACCCCTCCGCGGAAAGTCACGTTGTCTTGGTATTTATGTCACCTGGTTGCGTGGGCCGTGCGTGGAAGCGGGTTATCTATGGCAGAGTGCCACGCGGAATCGTCTTGTGAAGATAAATTTCGGTTAGTATGGCGGGGTTTTGTGTTTGGAGGTGGATGATGCTATGAATGTCTGTCTGTTTGGAGTTCTGCTCTCTCTCTCTCTTTCTCTTCTCTCTCTCTCTCTCTCTCTCTCTATCTCTCTCTCTCTATCTATCTATCATTCCCTCTCTCTCTCTCTCACTCTCTCTCTCTCTCTCTCTCTCTCTCTCTCTTCTCCTCTCTCTCTCTCTCTCTATCTCCTCTTCTCTCCTCTATCCCCCTCTCTCTCTCTCTCTCTCCTCCCTCTCTATCTCTTCTCTCTCTCTCTCTCTCTCTCTCTCTCTATCTCCTATCTCTATCTCTCTATCACACACTTGTGTGTGTGTGTTTTTCTTTTTTCTATATTGCTCACGTGCGTTTGCCCTACAAATCCGTGAAGATGTCGTTACATGTATATATGTATATTTTCTTATCACCTGTGAGCGTGGGTGTACTTTTTATCTTAAATCCACTTATGTTGCGAAGGCGGAGTGTAAACAGATAGTTTTAAAAAAAGAAGGAAAAAAGTACACCACATATTACAGGAAATTCTATGGACGATGGAGAGTATGGTGAGGGGGGGGGGGGAGAGAGAGGCTGTTGCCATGACAACGCAGGCAGCAGGTTACGCAACGGAACAATAGGAAACCAAATGCAATAAAACATCAGGCTGGACGACACACTAGGGAATGATGATAAGAAATTCAGATAAGGCCGTCCTGAGTAGGAAATTCTCCGGTTTTGATAACGTCATTCATTAGCAGAGATTAATCTATAAAGTATATAGGGGTTATTTATACCTCGGAGTAAGTAAAGTAGAAATATATGATGGAATATTTATGAAGTGTTTCACGACTGCGATCCCAAAACAAAAGACTTTAATACATACATAGATATATATAGATATATATATTATATAATATAGATTAGAGCTATATATATAGTATAGAGATATAGATAATTATATAGAGATATAGATTTATATATATTACAGAGATATATACAGATATGGATACCTATATATAGATATATAAGATATATATCTATCTATATATATATATATGTATAGTATATATATATACATATACACACACACACACACACACACACACACACACACAACACACATATAATATATTAGATATAATATATATATACACACACAACACACAAACCACAACACGACCACACACACACACACACACACACACACCACACACAAACACACACACACACACACACACACAAACACACACACACACAACACACACACACACACACACACACACACACCACACAAACACACGCACACACACACACACACACGCACACACATATACATATATTCATATATTTAGAATTATATCAAACCTGTATTTCGAATGGGCCAAGCTAACTCCTGGCATCGAAAGATTTGTGAGTTAATAGGAACTGAAACTGAAATAGAAATGAGCATAAAAAATGCATATAAGATATATGATTAACAGTTATCAGGGACATTTAGCTATATATCCGTCAGTCAGTTTCTATATCTGTATATTGTCTCTCTGTTATTGTCTCCCTATCCTATTAGTCATCTGTCTCCCAAGCAGTCCGATCATCTAAAAAGTATGTATATGTAATGATGACATGCAGACATAGAGTATTGTAAATAGCAGGACTATAATATATATAGAGATATAGATATATATATATAGATATATATAGTATAGATATATATATATCTTATATATGACACATCACTACATATATGATATATATAGAGATATGTTATCTAGATATAGATATATATATATATATAATATAGATGTATGAATGTATATAAGAGATATATATAGATAGATAGTATAGTATATAATATGATATGATATATATATATGTGTGTGTGTGTCGTGTGTTGTGTGTGTGTGGGTGTGTGTGTGTGGGTGTGTGTATGTGTGTGTATGTGTGTTTGTATGTGTGAGGTGTGTGTGTGTTTGTGTGTAGTGTGTGTTGTGTGTGTGTGTGTGTGTGTGTGTGTTGTGTGGAGAGAGAGAGAGACACAAGACAGGCCTAATAAACGTCGATGAACGGCTCATGTAACGACAGGTGCGTTGATGTCGAATCTAAACCGTTGATTCGTGTATTAGCAACATGTGTTATGCTGTCTATCTATATATATTATATTATATAATATTATATATATATTATATATATATATATATAATTATTATATATTATATATATATATTATTATATATATATAATAAATATAATATATATATATTATTATATATAAATATATATATATATATATATATAATTATATAATCTATATATATATATATATATTAGTATATTAATATCTATATATATATATATATAAATATAGATATATATACAGCATAAACACATTTTGCTAAGACACGAAGATCAGGTTTAGATTCGACATCAAACGCACCTGTCGTTACATGAGCTTCATTCGACCGTGTTATTAGGGCTGTCTTGGTCCTCTCTCTCTCACACACACACACACACACACACACACACCACACACACACACCACCACACACACACACACACACACACACATACACACACATACACACACATACACCACACACACACACACACACAACACACACACACACACACACACACACACATATATATAATATATATTATATCTATATATATATAGTATATTATTATATATATATAATAATATACATAATAACATAATATATATATATATATATATATATATATATATATATATATATATATATATATATTATGTATGTATGTGTATATATATATATATATATTAATTTTTAAATAAATATTAATATATATATATATATATATATATATATATATTATATATAATATGTACATATATATTTACATAATATAGTATGATGCTATAACATATACTACATTTTTTTAGAAATGATCGACTGCTTGGG